CCACCCAGGGCTGTCTCAAACAGAGACAACCTGGTGGGCAGGATCATCCTGGCCGTAAAGCCTGAGTTGGCGATCACGGATTATGCAGGTAATAGGTCCTGTGCCAGTCTCACGGTGTAACCGTTGGTTGGACACATGGTCCCGTCAACAGTATCCCATTATCCGGTGCAAGGACCTATTACAAAAGGCATCAAGTCGAGACTCCAAGGCGCAGGATAGTATCCAGGTTTCACTACCGTATAGCAAAATTGGCAATATCAGGGCCTTGAAGACAGGAAGCTTGGTCCTTCTGCACAGGTACCTGCTGCCAGGCCAATCCGTCTGCTGACTTCCTGGTCTGACAGCCCAGAGTTATGAACTAGGTAATTTTCTGTATTACCTTCGCCTCTTCGATATCGACGATTTTGGTATCGTTGGATTCCTCTCACTCTGTACAATCCAAATATGTAGGTTTTATTGCGCGGAAACCCCCCGTTAGCGGCAAACTTGGGCCCTATATTGGGGGCGACGATGTCGGAGCAGCGGACGTAATATAGTAATTTTGACGATTTTGGTATCGTTGGATTCCTCTCACTCTGTACAATCCAAATATGTAGGTTCTATTGCGCGGAAAACCCTTGTTAGCGGCACTATATCAAGGTCGACGATGTCGGAGCAGCGGACGTAATATAGAAAATTACCCTACTAATATAACCCGCAGTGAAAATATCCATGGTCATTTACATGACTTTTCATTGCAGGGGGCTGTGCCCCCTGCGACCCCCCCAGCGGGGACTGCTGCCCCCCAACCCCCGCTGAGGAAACAAAATATCCACCACATATTCACAGTAGGATAGAGCACACACGAACTAGATGCGGAGCCGATAACTTTCCCTACCATAACCTGGTACCTAGTAGGAGCACCCTCCACGCAAAACACGCCGACGAGGGCGCTCTTCTGTTCATGGTATACCCCGTTCATTGTGATTATACTACAATCGTCTCTGTATACAATGATGACTATGTCAAGGTTAGTATGCTGATTCAGTGGGAATGTTACGAGGTAACTGTAATACGTCCGCCGCTCTGAGATCGACGATAATTTTGTAACGCTCTAGCCTGCCGGGAATATGGGGTAGAGGTTTTATTTCCTCGGCGGGGTTGGGGGCGGCAGTCCCCCAAGGGGGGGTCGCAGTGGAAATGTCATGTGAATAACCATGGTTATTTTCACAGTTGGTTTTATCATTAGTATTATTTAACCCCGCATTTTCCCTGGAACCTTCCATGCCCTCCCTTGCTATCAGGGCCAAGTTTGTCGCTAACAATAACGACTATATATTTGCAATGTGGACAGTGAGAGGAATCCAACGATACCAAAATCGTCGATATCGGAGAACCGAAGGTAATATAGAAAATTACCATGACTACCAAGGTATGTAAAGCTCTGTGTGACTTCAATGTCCTCGCTGCAAGCACGTACCGACTGAACAGTTTCTAGTATGTCCCCAAAGTCCTGGATCTTGATCTTGGTCCAAGAGACCTCTAGACCCAAGGGCTTCGCTTCATTACTAAATGCATCGAGAGCCACCACTAAAGATTCCAAAGACTCAGATAGAATGGCAACATCATCAGCAAAGTCAAGTTCGGTAATCTTGATATTGCTAAGAGTTGCTCCACAATGACTTTGAACAGTAGTTCTGCCCATTATCCAGTCCATGGAAGTGTTGAAAAACGTTGGTGCAAGGACACAGCCTTGCCTCACTCCTAAACTAACAGGAAAGAAGCTTGACAGGCCCCCACCACACTTTACAGCACTTTCAGTACCAGTATACAGACGCTATTAGTCCAATAATCCGTGTTGGAATTCCTCTCAGTCTCAAGATCTCCCAGAGTGATTCCCGATGCACCGTATCGAATGCCTTCTTGAGGTCGATGTAGGCTGCAAGCAATCCATGCCCGAACTCGCGACGACGCTCTATAATGACTCGAAGTGCTAGGATACGGTCTATTTGTGGACTTACCAGGAGTGAATCCAGATTGCTCCAGTCTCTGATGCCTCAGTAGGTAGTCTCTGATACGTCTCAGAAGGATGTGGACAAGAACCTTGCCTGGTATACTGAGCAGTATGATGCCTCGGTGGTTGCTGCAGTCCCATCGGTCCCCCTTCCCCTTCCAGAGAGAGATGACCACACCCCTCAACAGGTCAGAGGGAACGGTACCTGACCGCCAGATGGCAGCCAGGACAACATGCAACCCCCACGCCATAGGTTCCCGCACCGCAACAGGATCTGAGATAATCTGACCACTTACTGAGCGAACTGCTGTCACCTGTGAAGAGGGCTTGGAGTTCAGCTTTCTCAGGGCTTAGTATGCAGGATGAAGGTCATTTACTAAGAAATGGCAATCTACTTCCTAAGCAAGATTCCTAATAAACTGTTCCTTGTCCCTTCTTAACAAAGACAGAGTTCTGCGCACCTGGGAACAGTGCAAATCCCGATCCCCTGTCAGACAGGCCACACGACAAGCATCTGTGGTATCCAGTGTCTCCTGCGAGATGAAATTTCGCCTTCCTCTCGGGCGTTCACCAATCGTCTCTTGAGCTGCATCAAGCGTTTCACGTTTGAAAGTCCACAGAAGTACAGGGTCCATCAAATTTTCAAGCACTGTGAAACGACCAGAGACTGCCTCAGCAAACCCCCGGGCACATTCCCCCTCCCTCAGCCTGTCCAAGTGAAACACCCTGGGGTGATCATTGGTCTGCTGGGGGGTTTTGAAATGGACTCGGAGTAGCCACAACCAATCTATGGTCAGTACCACAGAACTCGGCACTCCTATACACCCTGCAATTCTGGAGGATCCTCCGAGTGCTAACGAGTATGTGGTCGATCTCCTTGGCTGCATTACCCGCATC